TCCTTGCCCCGTCTTCGGGGCATGGCTTCCCGTGTCCTTGTCTCTGGTCTTCCCCAGTCTCTCTCTCCCCTTCCTTCGGGACCAGGACCTTCCTGTGTCCCCTGTGTCGAGGGGCGCCTCAGGGCTGCTCCTCACTCCTCCCAGTTTCCCCCGACAGAGGCTCCTCTGCAGACACTTCACATGGACGTGTGGGGCCCGGCCCCCGTCCGTGGACAGGGTCACGAGCGCTACTTCCTGTTGGTGGTTGACGACTACTCGCGTTACACCACAGTCTTCCCCTTGCGCAGCAAAGGTGCTGTCACTGAGGTGCTGATCGACTGGATCCGCGAGGCTCGTCTCCAGCTTAGGAGGAGCTTCGGCTCGGACTTTCCTGTTCTGCGTCTGCACTCTGACCGAGGTGGGGAGTTCTCCTCTCGCCTTCTGCGAGACTACTGTCGTGCACAGGGGATCCGCCAGACCTTTACGCTTCCAGACTCTCCACAGCAAAATGGGATTGCTGAGCGCCTCATTGGCATGGTCATGGATGTCGCTCGTACGTCCATGATGCATGCGGCTGCCCCCCATTTTCTGTGGCCGTTTGCGGTTCGGTACGCGGCGCATCAGCTCAACCTTCACCCCAGGGTCTCTCGGCCCGCGATGTCCCCAGTGTTACTGTGGACGGGGAAGGTCGGCGATGCGTCTGCGTTCCGTGCCTGGGGATCTCGGGCGTTTGTCCGCGACTTGTCTGCGGACAAGCTGTCCCCCCGTGCTGCTCCCTGTGTCTTCCTTGGCTTCCCCCCTGACGCTCCAGGGTGGCAGTTCTACCACCCCTACTCTCGTCGTATTCTGTCCTCCCAGGACGTCACGTTCGATGAGTCAGTCCCCTTCTACCGCCTCTTCCCCTACCGTACTCCTTCCCTCCCCCCCCCACCGGACTTCCTGGTGCCAGTTCCCCCCCCGGTAGACCCCCTCCCCCCTCAGGTTCCTGCCCCTTCAGGTGTGTCCCAGGTAGACACAGTCGAGCCAGTCAAGGTTGCTGCTGAGTCTGGTCCTGCTGCGGGTGCAGAGTCTGGGGGTGCTACGCCTGCGGGTGCTGAGCTTGGGGGTGCTGCTGCTGGGGGTGCTGAGCCTGGGGGTGCGAGGTCGGGGGGTGCTGAGCTTGGGGGTGCTGCTGCTGGGGGTGCTGAGCCGGGAGGTGATAAGTCAGGAGCTGCTGAGCCTGGGGGTGCTGAGCCTGGAGGTGCGGAGCCTGCGACTGCTAGACCTGGGGGCTCTCCGGTTGCTCCGTCTCGGCGGGAGCCGCTCTCTCCACAGGAGCTGCGCGAGTGGTTTGCTCGCCGCTGGAGGCGTGCTGCTGAAGCTGGAGCTCCTTCGACTGCTGAGGGTGCTGGTGCTGCCGGTCCCGGAGCTGCTGGGCCTGCGGGTCCTACTGGAGCTGGAGCTGCTGAGCCTGGGGGTGCTGAGTCTGGAGCTGCTGAGCCTGGGGGTGCTGAGTCTGGAGCTGCTGAGCCTGGGGGTGCTACGTCTGGAGCCGCTGAGCCTGGGGTTTCTCCTGGTGCTGCGTCTTGGCGGGAGCCCCTCTCTCCACAGGAGCTGCGCGAGTGGTTTGCTCGCCGCTGGAGGCGTACTGCTGGAGCTGGAGCTTCTTCGACCGTCGAGGGTGCTGGTGCCGCCGGTCCCGGAGGTGCTACGCCTGCGGGTCCTACTGGAGCTGGGGCTGCTGAGGGCGTTGGTGCTGAGTCTGCTGCTGTCTGTCCTGACGGTGGTTCTGCTGCTACTGCTGCTGGAGGTACTGCCGCTGGAGGTGTTGGTGGCGCTGGTGCTGCCGCTGAGGGTGCTGGTGCTGTCCTTGCTGAGTCTGGAGCTGCCGCGCGGCCTCGGCCGTACTTCGTTCCGCTTCTGCAGCAGGTTCTTGGTCTTTCTCCTCCGGTAGAGTGTCCACAGCCTGTCCAGTCGCAGTCACTGTTGGAGCCTACCTCCCCACTGCCTGCTCCCTCTCCTTACACTGGTCCTACTGGAGGTCTTGCTGAGCGTCGTGAGCCTGCGTCTCGTCCCGCGTTGCCTGTTCGTGCTGCTCGCGCTAGTGGTCGCGGTTCGCGTCAGCGTCCTCCTCCTGTCCCTGGCATGCACCGGATGTCTCTGCGTCCGTCCACTGCTCCTCTGCGTGCCCCTTTGCCTTCTCCTCCTGAGTCCTCTCTTCCTGCGCTTGCCGACCCTGAGTCGGACTCCCTTCGTGCTGCCAGTCCTACTGTCACGCGTCTCCTTGCTACTGCCGTCACTGACCCCTCTTTTGAGTCCACTGCTGCGTCTGCTCTTGTCGCTGAGCTCGTCGACTTTGCTGCTCGTTGTCGTCTAGACTACGTTGCTAGTCTTGTTGCTGAGTATGCGTCTATCTGTCCTCCGTCCGTCGGGGGTGAGTGTGCTCTTGGCACGGACGTCCTAGAGGACAGGCAGGAGGAGTTCCAGTGTCTGGCTGCTGCTTCACCTCATCTCGCGTCTGTACTGCTTGCTCCTGAGGGAGACCCGGATGCACTAGACATCCCGACTCCGCGCTCTTACGCGGAGGCCGTAGAGGGTCCCTACTCCTCTCAGTGGCAGGCAGCTATGGATGCAGAGATGGCTTCCTGGAAGTCCACAGGCACCTACGTTGACGCGGTTCCCCCTCCTGGGGCGAACATCGTCAGTGGCATGTGGATCTTCAAGGTGAAGCGGCCGCCGGGCTCTCCACCTGTCTTCAAGGCGCGGTACTCGCTCGAGGCTTCAGTCAGCGGCAGGGAGTTGACTACTTTCAGACCTTCTCTCCCACCCCGAAGATGACCACTCTTCGGGTGCTGCTGCACATAGCCGCTCAGCGCGACTACGAGCTTCACTCTCTCGACTTCAGTACTGCGTTCTTGCAGGGGAGCCTGCACGAGGAGATCTGGCTGCGCCGTCCACCTGGCTTCACTGGGACTTTCCCTCCTGGCACCCAGTGGAGCCTCCGACGGCCAGTCTACGGTCTCCGCCAGGCACCACGTGAGTGGCACGACACACTGAGGACTACGCTTGCGGCCCTTGGGTTTGCTCCTTCTACTGCTGACCCGTCGCTGTTTCTGCGCACCGACACTTCACTGCCGCCGTTCTACATCCTCGTGTACGTCGACGACTTGGTCTTTGCCACAGCGGACACTGCTGGACTCGCCTACGTGAAGTCCGAGCTGCTGAAGAGACACACGTGCACAGACCTGGGTGAACTGCGCAGCTACCTTGGCTTGCAGATCACTCGGGACAGAGCACGCCGCACCATTACCTTGACTCAGTCACACATGGTGCAGCAGGTCCTTCAGCGCTTCGGCTTCACGTACTCCTCGCCTCAGGCCACTCCTCTGTCTACTCGTCACTCGCTCTCAGCTCTGCCTTCGGATGAGTCCGTAGAGTCGAGTGGCCCGTACCCAGAGCTTGTTGGCTGCCTCATGTACCTGATGACCTGCACACGACCTGACCTTGCATACCCTCTTAGCATTCTTGCACGCTATGTTGCTCCTGGGAGACACCGACCAGAGCACATGGCTGCAGCGAAGAGGGTATTGCGCTACCTGTGCAGTACGTCGGGCATGGGGCTAGTGCTTGGAGGGCGGAGTCCAGTGGTACTTACAGGTCACGCGGACGCTTCTTGGGCTGACGACCAGGCTACGCAGCGGTCGTCACAGGGTTACACCTTCAGCCTTGGCTCCGGCTCTGTCTCGTGGCGGGCTACTCGCTCGTCTTCGGTTCTCAGCTTGAGTTGTGAGGCTGAGATCTACGCAGGGGCCATGGCTGCACAGGAGCTTCGCTGGCTCACCTACCTGCTGACTGACCTTGGAGAGCCGCCTCGTTCTCCTCCAGTGCTGTACGTAGACAACAAGGCCATGCTGGCCTTGTGTCGAGAGCAGTGTCTGGAGCACAGAACGAAGCATATTGCTCTTCGCTACTTCCTTGCTCGTGAGCTACAGCAGCGTGGACAGTTGCGGCTTGCGTACGTGGCCTCTGAGGCCAACACTGCTGATGTGTTCACCAAGGCACTCGCGCCTTCTGACCATCAGCGCTTCTGCACCCAGCTGGGTCTTGTGCCTGTCTTTCCTCACTTGCTCTCCTCTTGACTTTACTTGTACTGTCACATATATATACCTGCTCTTGCTTGTCTAGCTTTATATATATATATGTGTGTACTCCTGCATGTGAACTGGCCTTGTGGCCTTGCTCTTGTGCTCGGACTGTGTGGTGACTTTGTGATCCACCCTGAGCTTTGCTTTGCTTTGCTTGACTGGTCTTGTGACCCCTTGTTCTCCCCCACTTTGCCTATGGGGGTGTGTCAGAACATATATGTAGCTTATGCTGTTGTGTAAGCTACAGTGGGGTATACCATAGGGGGTACAACCCAATTAGGGTTTTGCTATTTGCACTCACTTCACTCATAGTTCATTCATTCTCGTTCTATTTCCACAATGGTTGCCCAGTCGACCAAGATACCTGGGTGACGAGGTTCTGCGAAGGAGTGCGACGGTCGCCCAGGCGAAGTTGGCGAGTCTGACCCGGTGGTAGTATCCCAAGGTCGACGTGGCGGATCAGGTGGAGCCGTCAGCACGAAGATGACTTGGTGCGTGCGCTGATCAGGTGACGAGGCTTAGCCCTCCAATCATCAACGAGCACCTGCAAAGTAGGTGCGCTGCTGCTCTACGGAAGCAATGCTGGCATGCCGTCAATCTGCAGCGTTGGCACGCCGACGACTTTGCACTCCTGGAGCGTGGTCGGCCAAGTCGTGCTGGAACGCGGTCGACCATGCTGTGCTAGCAGTCGACTGACCTGAATGCTAGCTCTGATGTAGTCTTGCCATGCCAACTTCATTGTACCATGATTGTCAACTTTCTCTAGTGAAACTCTTGCCAAATTGCCCCGTGAATTAGCAAGCAGTGTGAGCACTAGGAAAACGACTAAAGACCAACGAACGCAGAGATCACACGAGCATGCGTGCCTAGCCCGTAGTCTAGCTCCCGTTGTAGTAGTTATCTCCGCAACAAGGACACGAGAGGCCATGCCTCGGAGACGAGGCAGGGAGGGGTGACCAAGGCGGTGGTGCCAAAGGAGAGTCTGGTGAGACAGGAGACGACACGAGCAGGGAGCAGACTCAGGACCAGACCAGGTCGCTGCAGCAAACACCTGACTCGATGCAGCTACCTGACCAGACTCAGCAGCCGGAGGAGACTCAGTAGTAAGTGTGTACAGGCTCGACCTCGGCCGACGGGTGAACGTGGCCAAGTGTCGGCCTGTCCGAGCACACGTGCAGTGGGTCACCCACTGACTCGCAGGAGTGAACTGGTCAACCCCCCTATCCTGTAGATCAGCTCCACTCACCAAGTTCGTAGAGAACGAGGGGAGGTAGAGACCTGACAGGGTGCCAGAGGGGGCTGCCGGACATGGTAAGACAGTGGAGAAGTTAGCAAGGACAGGACCCCCAGAGGGGTCCGCCAGGGAGACTGCAACCGGCCAACTAAGCGGCGTAAGCGTGGTGCGGTCTCGAAAGAAGGAGCGGGAAGCACCCGAGTCAAGGGTGAAGGTGTGTAAGGCCTGAGCCGACGTAGTACCTGAGAGAGCAGACTCACCATAAACTGGGGCAGCAGACGCACTAGCACCTAGAGCAGCAGCCTCACCAGCATCTAGAGCAGCAGCCTCAATGCCCGGGTCAGGCGGAACACACAGGTAACAGTCACCCTCAACACTATCAGACACAGCATACATGGCTGCAAGAATAGCATCATAATCAAGATCAAAGATAGCAACCCCCGCCCTAGACAGCTCTCCCCAGCGAGGGATCTCAGAGGCCTCAGGGAACTGGTGACGCCACGGGCGGAGTGCGGCCGTGGTCCATCAGGCGGCCGAAGCAACGCTGGGTGGAGTGCGGGCCCCCGCACTGCTCACCAGCACGCTCGCCTGCACGGAGGACGTAGGTGCATGGACCAGTATCCCCACCGCGCTGACGCGCAGCGTACCACTTACTAAGCTGCTGAGGGGACAGGGTCTCACGTCTGCGTTGCTGCTGCTGGCGCGGGTTTAGACGGGACCCACTCCTCTGCGCAGAGCCGCGACCAGCTCCACCGCTGCCGCCGCCGCCTCCGCCACCTCCGCCACCTCCGCCGCCTCCGCCACCTCCGCCGCCTCCGCTCCCTCTGCCACCGCCGCCGCCTCCACTGCCTCCACCGCTGCCACCGACACCTCCACCCCCGCCACCACTCCCACCACCACCCCCACCCCCTCCACTGCCTCCACCACCACCTCCACCGCCCCCGCCAGCCCCTCTAGCGCCCTTGCCCCCCTTGCCCTTGCCCGTGCGGCGTCTCCGGCTAGGGGCAGACGCAGCGCCGACCGACTCAAAACCAACGAGGTCGGCCGCAGCAGCAGAAGAAACAGAGGGCAAGAGGGGGGAGGGGAACACCCCTCAAAGAGGGGGTGCGAGGGTCACCACGAGAGGCTCCTACAGCGACTATGCTCTTCTCTGCTGCTAGGAGGCGCTCCTCGAGGAGGTCAACGGTGAGTGTGGTGGGGCAAACTGAGAGGAAGTGGTCCCTGACTAAGCAAAGGGAGTCAGGGAGCCGGGTGACTATGTAGTAGAGGGTGATGTACATGGGGGGGGGGGGGGGGGTTCTTGGCACAGAACTCAGCAGGAAGCGCAGCGCGGTAGCGAGTGTCACTAGTGCGAAGGTGCGTAATGAGGTCAGCGACTGTGGGAAAGGCAGCAAGTTCAGGGAACAGGTACGGCAGCATGAGGCGGCTAAGCGCAGCAGTGGCAGGGGAGGAGTAGCGTGCAACTACAGCGTCGTTTAAGGTCTTAGCACTCTTGTACTGGCTAAAGTGTGCACGCTCAGTGGTCGGTAAGTGGCGACGCACAGCAAGGCGGGCAGCAGCATCGTGTGTGGCCCACTGTGAGCGAACAGTGCTGTCAGCAGTAGAAGGCGGGGCAGGAGAGGCACTAGAGGTGAGATCAAACAGGGAGAGTCCGTCTGCCCTATCGCATTGTAGGAACAGCTGGAGGTCATCGACCCAGACCTCTAAGTCAACAGCACGACCCTCAGCATCAAACGTAAGGACACTGGGGGTAGCCATGACTGAAGTGGCCTAGCAGGGAGTGATCTCACCAGTCCGAGTAAGTAGGGCCGGGGCGCGCCGGCAGGAACAGTAGTGGCTCGACTGCAGGGTGGCTCGGCGGCTCGGTTGCTGGGCGGCTCGGCGGCTCGGCTTCTGGGTGGCTCGGCGGCTCGGCTGCTGGGCGGATCGGCGGCTCGGTTGCTGGGCGGCTCGGCGGCTCGGCAGCTCGGCTGCTGAGCGGCTCAGCTGTTGGGCGGCTCGGCTGCTGGGCGGCTCGGCTGCTGGGTGGTTCTGCTGCTCAGCTGCTGGGCAGCTCCGCGGTGAAGGGGCCGGTAGAGGCGGCGATGGGGCCAGTAGAGGCGGCGATGGGGCCGCTAGGGGCGGCGACGGGGCTGCTAAGGGCGGCGAGGTGGCCGCGAAGGGTCGGCGACGGGGCCGCTAGGGGCGGCGACTGGGCTGCAGAGGGGCCGCAAGGGGCCTAGAGGGGCGGCGACGAGGCTGCGAAGGGGCCGTAAGGGGCCTAGAGGGGGCGGCGACGGGGCCGCAAGTGGCAGCGACGGGGCCGCGAAGGGGCTGCGAGGGGCCTAGAGGGGCGGCGTCGGGGCCGTGAAGGGGCCGCGAGGGGCCTATAGGGGCGGCGACGGGGCCTAGATCGGCGGCGACGGGGCCGTGAAGGGGCCGCGAGGGGCCTAGAGCGGCGGCAACGGGGCCTAGAGCGGCGGCGACGGGGCCGTTAAGGGGCCACGAGGGGCCTAGAGGGGCGGCGACAGGGTCGCTAAGGACGGCGACGGGGCCGCTAAGGGTGGCGCGAGGGGCCTATAGGAGGGCGCGACGTGAGGGCGGCCTACGGGGCACGCCTCGGGCAGGAAAAAAAGATCGAGTTAGGTGGTGGGACCTGAGAAGCGTTCCCACGAGGGAACCTGCTCTATACCATGTGAAGAATGAGGAATGAATGAACTAGCACAAGGTTGGGTACAAGTAGGAAACCCTAGAAAACTGTACCCCATAGTGTCTACCCCACTATAGCCTAGACAAGCTATATGATATGAGTTTGACAACTACAGCGTCATACAGCTTCTGAGCAGTTTTGTGCTGGCTGAAATGCGCGCGCTCAGTGATCGGCAGATGGTTCCTAATAGCTAGGCGTGCAGCAGCATCACGAGTCTGCCACTGCGAGCGTTCGAGAGCAGGAGCATCGGCAGCAGGAGCAACGGCAGTGCTAGACACGTAATCGAACAGTGAAACGCCCTCTTTGGCATCGGTCAGAAGGAACAGTTGGAGGTCGTCGAGCCACACAGTGAACTCTATGGGGCGACCATCAGGCTCGAACGCCAGAACATTAGGCGTCGTCATAACGGCAACAGGCTAAGGCAGTAGACAGTAGGCAGTAGGCAGTAGTTGTTGTCCTTACAACAAATATGATGATAGATACAACACTGATGAAAGACAAGCGATTTGGCGCAATGGTTTCGATGTATCGAAATATGCCGAATTGAGAACGAATCTCGTCACGGGAAATGTTGGATAGGTAAGACGCACTTCTGCCATTACTATTTTAGCTGCTGGCTTTAATTTTATAACACCAAATTCTTGTTGCTCTTTATGTAAGACTAATAACATTTAGTTTATTTCCTTCTTTTACCACAACACAAAGCATACGAGTATCTAGTCTGTTGCGATCAGAATTTGATCGTGGCCTAGGATCTACTCAGGAAGGTTTGCACGCAGAGAAGTGATGTTGGTGGGCCCTTGACCTCAATAGCAGAGTGAATGTAAAATGCTTTGAGATAATTTAAAACATGCAAATACAGCAAATATAAATATGAGTACAGGGAGATGAAACAACCTAGCTAGCCATGTACTCTAAGGGGTACATTCCCTTATTCAAATACATTCCCAACCGTGCGGCGCGAACAGTTACGAAACTGTTCCCGCCGAAACCATCTTGCCTGCAGCTGCCTGATGCTGTCTGCTCCGACGGTCCAGATGCGTCCCAACTGTCTGACGCTTCGAGTCGATTCCAACCGTCTGACGCTTCGCGTTCATTCGCGATACTGTGTGCTTCTCTTTGCTGCGGTGAGGAGTGCACAGTAATATTCAAGTATTACTATTCGTAACACCCCCCTTCACTCCTGGCCGTAGCTCGACTTGACCTGCTTGACCACGTCGCTGAGTTTGGAGCAGTGCTGATACTGCTGGCGTGGCAGTCGCTTCGTGAGGAAGTCTGCTGCCATGTCACAGGTCGGGCAGTAGGTCAAGTTGACCTTGCCCTTGTCCACCTCATCCTTCACGAAGAAGTACCACAGCGCAATGTGCTTGGTGCGGCTGACGAAACCAGGTTTGTTCGCGATGCGAATCGCACTCTGGTTGTCGCAGTGAAGGCGAAATGTGGGCGAAGCTGGATTTTTTGCCTCTTGCAGGAGTTCCTGCCAGTAGAGGCCTTCGCGAACTGCTGCGGTTGCTGCGATGAATTCCGCTTCGGCTGACGATAGGGCAACCAGCTCCTGCTTCTGCGAGTTCCACGAGATTGGTCCCGTTGGCTCGAGTCGGAACAGGAAGCCAGTCCTGGACCGTCGATTATCGGGGTCTGCTGCGTGATCGGCGTCCACAAAGCCGATGAGGTTGAAGGATGGAGTTGGTGTAGTTGAGTAGCACAGCCCAATCTTGGGCGTTGAAACGAAGAACTGAAGGGCGCGCTGCAGATCCAGAAGATTCTCAGCCGTTGGTTTGCGTGAGTACTGCGCCAGCTGACTGGCGATGTACGAGAGGTCTGGCCTGCAGGTGACAGAGGCGAAGAGGAGGCATCCCAACTGCTGCTGGTAAGTCTGAATCCCAGCAGGGGATAGGAGTTTGTTGTCGGGTTTGTGGTTCGGTCCGGGAGTTCGGTAGGGAGTTGAGAGAGGTGCAGGTGAAATGTTGAACCGCTTCCCTAACTCCATTGCGTACTTAGCCGCTGAGAGATGAATGGCCTCATGCGCGTAGGAGATGTTGAGGCCTAGAAACTGCTTCACCTCGTAGTTGCACGTGATGTCGACGCGCCCCGCCAAGGCCTTCTCGAACTGCTTGAGAAGCTCGTTGTTTGAGCCTGTGTAAAGCAGGTCGTCGAGGTACACCGTGAGGAGAATGTATTCCCCGCGGAATTCGCAGCGATACATCCCTGGATCGTGCGGCATCTGCTTGAATCCGATTTCAAGCAGGATGTTGTGCAGGTATTGCTGCCACAGCCTCGGAGCCTGTTTGATCCCGTAGAGTGACTTGCGCAGTTGGCACACGCGCGAGTCCCCTCCGTCGTAGGTGTGCGGCTGCTCCACGTAGATCACGGCGTCCACTAACGCGTACAGGAACCGCGTTCTTCACGTCAATCTAACGGAGTGGTAGGTGCCTTGCAGCTGCAATGGCGAGCAGGATTCGAACGGAGGTACGGCGGCTAACTGGGGCGAACGTCTGGTCGAAGTCGATGCCATGCCTCTGATCGTAGCCGCGAACCACCCAACGCACCTTGAAGCGCTCGATCGTTCCGTCCGCTGCGGTTTTCACGCGGAAGACCCACTTCCCCGAGAGGATTCTTGCGCCTTTGATCGCCGCGAGGTCGACTAGCACCCAGGTGTCTCGTGACTCCAGCGCCTTGATCTTTGTGTCCATTGCTTCGCGCCATTCCTTGCTGTGTGGTCCAGAAAGAGCTTCGCGCGAATTTCGGGGCTCGATGACACGTGGCGCCTTCGAAGTTGCGGTGTGAAGCCCGAGCAGCTGCAGTCCTGAGATAGTGCTGTCGTGGCGACGTTGCGGGATGACTTCCTGTACGTCGTCGTCATCGCTTTCTGGTTCAGGAGGCGCTGGTGGTGCTGTGCCTCTGCCGCTTCCGCCTGTTCCGCTTCCGCTTGCTGCGCCCATTCCTCCTCCCGAGGAATCGTCGTCGTCGTCAACGCAGCTGCGTCGTTCTTCCCACACGAACTCGCCCCTCGTGTCCTGCTCCAAGATTGCTGCAGCGGCTTCGTCTTCGAGCGTTGCGTAGCTGTGCCCATCGTTCGCGTAGACGCGGTTCGCGTTCGTTTCTTCGTCGCGGCGGAACTGGTCGAGGAAGAGGCGCTCGTAGAAGATGACGTCGCGAGCGTGAGCGATTTTCTGACTGAGGAGGTCCAGCACGATCCACGCCTTGTACTCGTGACTGATGCCGAGATGGATCCCCCAGCGCGCGTGGCTGGCGAATTTGCCGATGGTTGAAGTCGGCGGGCGGTATTGAACCATGCACCCCCATACGCGCAGCATGGAGGTATCCCCTTTGGTCCCGGTCCATTTGACGTGCGTGGACAGATTGCCGGTGATGGCGGTGGTCGAAAGTAGGTTGTGCACCCGCACGGCGTGGTGCATCGCGTAGGTCCAGTAGATCGGCGGCAATTTTGACTGCTTCATCAGCGCGCACACCTTCGTCATTAGCGTGCGGTTCAACCGCTCAGCTACGCCCTGCTGCTGGTGCGCATAGGGGAGAGAAATGTGGTGCTCGATCCCCTTTTGCATGAGGTAGATTTGCATCTGGTTGCTCCTGAATTCTGCCGTGCCGTCAGATTGCCAGATTTTCAGCTTCTTCCCAGACTGTCGCTCTGCGTGCGCCAGCCAGAGGCGAAACGCCTCGTAGGCTCTGTCGCGTGACTCCACGTTCACGACCCACACGTAGCGCGTTCCAGCGTCGATGAAGGTGAGCGTGTACATTTCGTCCTCGACTCCGCAATGCCCCACGTTCAGGAAGTCGCTGTACACCTTATGCAGCTTGGGGTAGCGGTTCGTTCCAGGTTCGAGCAGCGGGAACGGTTGGTGGCTCAGCGCAGCTTAAGGGCAGACGGTGCAGTTGCGCGGATGTGTCGCGCCTCTCACTTCGGAGCCATCAAGGCGCAGGAGTGCGCCAGGAGCGAAGACGCCTGCGTCGATGCAGTTTTTCAGCGTCGCGCGTGAAGGGTGTCCGATGCGCTGTTGCCTGAGAGTATCGTCAGCGCGAAAGCCGGAGGTGCGCATGTAGCACGCACACGCTTCCTCAGGGTCTTCGTCAGGTACAGGAGTAGGTTCTGCTGCTACTCTCTCTGCTTCTTCTTCATCTGGCGCGGTAGTCAGGATGAGCGCCAAGAACTCTCTGTCGCGAATCTCAGAGAGAAGAATGTTGGTCCCGGGGATGGTTCCAGGGACGAAGGTGGGTTCGCGTGGCTTAGGGGCAGGTCCGTAGACGGTGCGACGCGGGGTTGACGGCTCGTTGCCCCAGATGATGGTGTCCCATGGATCGCGACGCGGGGGGTTGTCAGGAGGAGGTGGTGCGAGTGGAATGTGACGCAGGGGACGACCAAGAGGAACGACTGCAGGTGTTGCCTCAGTTTCTTCAGCTTCATCCTCTCCCCCCTTTCGTTCTTCGCGGAAAGTACCCCAGCCGCTATTGTCGGCGCTAGTTGCTGTCAGTAGATCTGCACTGTGGATGCCCGATTGATCCTGGAGAGGATTACAGGCGCGTTCGCCTGGGGGGTTATGGGCGCACTCACCCGCTACTGAAACAAGCCCTTTTATCCCAATGGTCTAGTGGTTGGGATTCTGACATGGTATCAGAGCGGTCTCGGGTTCGATTCCCGGTGTATGCACATGTAGGTCGTTGCCGCTGTGCTTAGTCCTGGGCCTCCCAGTGTGGGGGGGTGTCAGTAGATCTGCACTGTGGATGCCCGATTGATCCTGGAGAGGGTTACAGGCGCGTTCGCCTGGGGGGTTATGGGCGCACTCACCCGCTACTGAAACAAGCCCTTTTATCCCAATGGTCTAGTGGTTGGGATTCAGACAGTTGCGGCGCCCCATCCGCCGCTCGCGTTGGCCCAGGTTCCGCCGTTGTCTCCCCAGCCGCTAGTGTCACTTGTTCCCCATCCTCCAGTGCCCCCCCACCCCCCTTCATTGGAGGCACTTTCTTCAGCCTCAGCTCCCCAGGTGGCGCAAGCGAAGGTCCCACGTGCTTTTGCAAGGCTTTGCTGGCGAAGCTCCTCAGCTTCGCGGCGCTCCAATTCTTCATCTTGCTCCACGGTGAGTTTCTTCGACGAGTCGCGTCGATGAGAGTAGATGGCCAGAAACTTCTCGTAGGTGTAGGGTCGCGGGTCGCCATGGGCATCAAAGGTGCCGACGCCAGTTCCGCGCAGCATGCCTTGAAGGTGCTGTGAGGGGGGACCGATGAGGGGATGATCTGGCGTGCCGAAAATGCCGTGGGTAGTAACTTCAAGCTCGAGCTGCGACATCCCTTCCTCTAGGTGCGCGTGGCGCTCTGCTTCAGCGATGGCGGCAAGTCCGTGGCCGGCAATCGCGCTCGTTGATGTCGTCGGCGTGTAACAATCCCTGCATATGCCATCTGGATCGGGGTTGTGTAACGCCGTTTCGCGTGGGTGGGGATGATGTGGCACCCACGGTCTGCCGTCAGGGTGCTTCCAATCCCTGCGGTGAATGTGCTTGAAGCGCAGTGGCACGAGATCAATCAACTCGTGCGAGTCGCCGCTGCAGTCGGGAATGGGGCAGCGGTTGATGTAGCTGTTGACCTTCTCCCCTGAGGTCATCTTAGTTTCCAACAGTTGCTGGAGTAGTCGGCTTGAGGAGACGGAGTCCTTGGGCTGATACACGCCGTTCAGGTGGCGCCAAGCGTCGAGGGCTGGGGCAGCCGATGTCTTGTATGAACGAATGTTCAGCTGCTTCGCCGGCGACATGTTACGCAAAAGAATCCCGTACGCCATCAGGGACTCGTTATAATAGCGAGTCCTGGCGTCGTCGGTGTCCTCAGCAGGTCCTGAGTAGCTCCCGTCGAAATAATGATAAATCTACGCGTTTTGCAGCAGCAGCTCCAGCTCGAAGCTCTAGGTGTAAAAGTCTCTACCGTCAAAGCACACACTTGTCTTTATTTTTTATATGCTAAAAAACCTTGATTGCGCGGAGAGAATCGCTTCATCGCTGGGACAGGGAGTCTTGGGGGTTGAGCCATTCGTATCTAGGGAGAAGCCTTGCGGGGCGGAGTTTTGGCCGTTTGACGCCGGTTGAGTGGGTTGGGAAGAGGTTCCCGCGTCGCCATTCCACAATGTTTGGAGTCCTTGCTCCAGGCTCGTGAGTCGCTGAAGCAGTTGTGCGAGGACGGCGGAAGGGATCTTCGTCATTTCCTCGCTTTTCGCAGCCGGCTTGGGCTGCGCTTCAACCGTCAGATTCATCTGACCACCAGATCCTCCGGCCATTCTCACACGCGAGCGTGTGCCGGACGCCACTTTCCGAATGTCGTAATTTTCGGGAGTGGCAGTGCCAAGGATTCCTGGGCCGCTCTCATACCATGCTGCGATCAGAAGTTGATCGTGGCCTAGGATCTACTCAGGAAGGTTCGCACGCAGAGAAGTGATGTTGGTGGGCCCTTGACCTCAATAGCAGAGTGAATGTAAAATGCTTTGAGATAATTTAAAACATGCAAATACAGCAAATATAAATATGAGTACAGGGGAGATGAAACGACCTAGCTAGCCATGTACTCTAAGGGGTACATTCCCTTATTCAAATACATTCCCAACCGTGCGGCGTGAACAGTTACGAAACTGTTCCCGCCGAAACCATCCTGCCTGTAGCTGCCTAATGTTGTCTGCTCCGACGGTCCAGATGCGTCCCAAACGTCTGACGCTTCGAGTCGATTCCAACCGTCTGACGCTTCGCGTTCATTTGCGATACTGCGTGCTTCTCTTTGCTGCTGTGAGGAGTGCACAGTAATATTCAAGTATTACTATTCGTAACATAGTCTAGTTAAAAGTATAAAAGCTTAAGTAATACCCTTCAATCCAAAAGCTTAGGATCTTTGAAAAAAATATTATTGCCTCATGCATTCAATACAGTTTAAATATGTACATTGATAATGTAGTTTTGAAAGCGCAAAACGCTTCGCAACCCTAAGACGATTTCGTCGCCCCTTGTTGAACTTTTAACAAAAAGCTACTTTTGACATGTGATCTGGATGGGATGGGAACTGGAAGAGCCTTGAAAGGCTGAAACAAAGTTTCCTGTGACGGACACATGTACCAGGATCTTATGTTTCTTTTGCGGCGCTCTCAACCATGCAACAACACCTCAAAGTGAAACATAATTCCATTTATATACAGGACAAAGTGAATGGCGATACTGTGCCAGAGAGCAGCCTTGACATCGGTATGCACCTACCATATCTGTCACCAATGTCACACGCCCCTCACAACCACACCAGCACGAAGCAACTCTCTCCGAGCCCTTTCCGTGACCTTCCCACTTCCACCTTCAAGTACCGCAGCCTAGGGAAGCTTCCAAGAACCCCTCCAACGCCGGTTGCTGTAATCTTGTCGCACTCCACTAGAGTCAAACTAGCGAGCGTTCCCAGCCTGCTTCCCACGACCACTGCATCTGAAATGCTGCTATCTTGCAACACCCTTAGCTCCTCCAACTTGAAGCACGCTCCCAGTAGTTCCAGCCATTCATGCTCCTTCAACCCCACACAGCGCACCAAGGCGAGATGCTTGAGGAGCCTGAAGGCTGCAGCTCGGGCAATGGACTAAAAGGGCCCACTTGGGGATGGGGCATAGGAGGAGCGGGAAGAGGTGGACGAGGGGGAAGAGGAGGAGGAGAGGGAAGAGGAGGAAGATGAGTGACATGAATAGGGTGGTGGAGAGGGGGAGGAGGAGAGGTACATGCGAGGAGACTCAGAAGAAAGGGAGGGAGACAGCCGGGGGACAAGGGGCAGGGAGGCGAAGCAGAGGGATCGGATCGGAGGGTCAGGGACTCCAGAGGAGGGCAGAACACTTGCACGGGGACTGCTGCTGCTGCATGGCTCCCTTCAGAATGCTTGATGGTTGACTTTCCGTTGCTTGGTTTCGCATCCCCTTGTGCTGTCTCCCCTGCTGCCGCCTTCCCTGCTACTTCTGCCGCCTTCCCTGCTACTTCCCCTGCTGCCGCCTTCCCTGCTACTTCCCCTGCTGCCGCCTTCCCTGCTACTTCCCATGCTGCCGCCTTCCCTGCTACTTCCCCTGCTGCCGCCTTCCCTGCTACTTCCCCTGCTGCCGCCTTCCCTGCTACTTCCCCTGCTGCCGCCTCATCTGCGGCCTTTTCTCCCAGCCCTCCGCCTTCTAGCGTGCTTTCCACCCGCTGCGATGCTTCCGCCGCCCCTCCTCTCTCTCCATGCACTGCTGCTCTTCCCTCACGCACTGCCGCCCCCCCGGGAGCTGCTGCTGCACCATCACCTCCTCTTGGTGTTGCTGCCCCACCTCCATGTGCTGCTGCATCCACCACTGGGCGAGGCAGGGTGGGCGTGAGAGGGCGCATGGAATCAAAGCTCGCAGACACGGCGTCAGTGTGCTCCAACAGCTCCTCCATCAGTGCCTGCATCTTCTCCACCCCCTCTGCATGCGTCTCCACCGCATCAGACCGCACCCCACCCAGCACACTCTCAGGTAGGCCATCACCAGGTAGCATGCTATCCATGCCCCTGCTTCCAGCTCCTGCTTCTGTCTCCTCCACTTCCCTGTCCTCCGCTTCTTCATGATTCAGCTCCGTAGTAAGGAATCCTGGTGCCTTGAGAGCAGCACCAACAGCAGCAGCAGCAATAGCCTGCACCACCGCCTCCTCCCACTTGATCGCCGCATTGGCCTCACATACCCCGGCGCAGAAGGACCGGCACGCCGAGATCCCGAACCTAATCTTCCCGAGGCTGGCAACGATCCGAGGCACGGCGTTCACACCCTCCACACGCGCCGCCAAGAGTGCATCGGAGCGCGCGGCTTTGGAGGCTTCAATGGCTACTCGAGAAAGGCGGACCACATCGCCCACTGCTGCAAGCTTATCTTCCTGCGCTGCCGACGCCTCTCTGCGTATATCCACGTACCTTCCCCATTGCTTGTCGCTCCCCTTCGGGAATACCCGTGCCGCTGCAGCTGCTGCAGAAGCACCCTTCTGTGCTTTCTCCGATGCGTCTGTGTCTGCTTCTTTTGCCTCCCCTCCTGCGGCCCCTCCTGCCTTCCCTCCTGCCTTCCCTCCTGGCTCCCCTCCTGCCTCCCCTGCTCTGCTCTCCACGCGCACAAGCATACCCACAAGGCCGTCGAATGACACAGTGCGCGGCAACAAGGATTCCGAAGAATCAATTACCCCTTCTAGACTCAGCGACCGCAGGGCACTGCAGGCAGCAAGCATGCCCGGGCAGAAGCAGGGTAGACCAGCGAGGTGGAGGGAGTGGAGGTGGGAGGAGGAGCGAGAGAGGAGAGAACGGAAGCCCTGTGCAGCAAACAGACAGTAATTTGTTCCGTGGAGGGAGAGGGAGGAGAGAGCAGGGTTGACTTGAAGGATGGTTGCGAGGGAGTGGGAGGAGACGAGCGAGCAGGAGTGGATGGTGAGGCAGGTGAGAGAGTGGAGGGAGCGTGAGAGAGAGCGGAGCTCGTATGAGTCGATGGTGCAGGAGTGGAGGGAGAGGGAGGCGAGGGAGGGGAAGAAGGAGAGAGAAGGGAGGGAGCCTTGCAGTTTGGCGGAGTGAATAATAATAGATTTGAGAGACGTGCGGAGAGGGGATGGGGGGGGGGACGCAAGGGAGGAGGATGAAGGGGAGGAAAGAGGGGAGGAGGAGCAGAAGGCAAGAGAGGAGAGAGAAGAGGATTCGGGGGCCCAGAGGGTGAGAGTCGTGAGGGAGGAACAGCGGGGAATGGAGAGGTAGTCCAAGGGAACGTAGAGGAGAGAGAGGGACTGCAGTGAGGGGAGGAGGTGCACGGGGGGAAGCGGCGGCTGCCGTGTGTAGAAAAGACGCGCGCGCGCATAGCGTGAGTTGAGCTCCAGTGACGTCAGGAGCCTGCTTGAGGGGGGAAGGAGCGAAGGGCAGTGAGGAAGTGGAGTGGATGGATTGATGGATGGATGGATGGATGGATGGATGGACGGACGGACGGACGGACGGACGAACGGACGGACGGACGGACGGACGGACGGACGGACGGACGGACGGACGGACGGACGGACGGACGGACGGACGGACGGACGGACGGACGGACGGACGGACGGACGGACGGACGGACGGACGGACGGACGGACGGATGGATGGATACACAGATGAATGCATGCATAACTGCATGGATGTATGGATGTGGAATAAAATCGGCAAAAGAGCAAATGCGCGCCAAGCTCGGCCGTTAACGTTGAAGCTATCCCAACCCGTCACCCATTCCAGTTTCGCGCAGTCCGCTGCGATCCCCGCCATAAGCTGATTCCCGAACCCAGAAGGAACTTCCACTGTCAGATCCGTTATGTGGGTAAACACCCTTGAATAATCGTCAAACACTTTCAGCCATTGACGCAAATTCGTCACCCTCCGCCGAGAGTAGAGGTCGAAGCTGAGCGTGTGCAACGTGCGCCGAGAGAGGCGGCGGAGGCGGGAGCAGGAGAGAGCAACGTTGCGGCGATCGGATGGGTGATCTGCGAGGCCGAGAACGATTTGGAGGAGCTCGTTGGGGAGCGATAGCAGCCTGCTGTTGCCGGCGCGATCGCTTCTTTTCGCCATCTGTTAGGGTTGGTTCGCCCAACCACGAAACCTAAGGCGAAAGCATCTACGACCTTGAGAACTGGTATCAGAGCTTGACGAACGGGCTCGTCGATCGTCGCGAATTCACTTGGTGCGCCAAGTGAAATTAGTGGAGAAGAGGAGTCGTTCAAGCCTACGCTATGGGAGACGAGGCGAGTTCGGGTTCCAGTGTGAGTCTTGGAGACCCGCAATTGAAGGCTCTTCTCGAGGCCCTTGCAAGTGGCCGATTGGTGGCGAAACCGACGATCGGGCTCACTCAAGCTCAGCGCTTCAATGGAAGCAACTACAACGTGTGGCGAAAGAAGTTCATTCGAAGGGCAGAGGAGGTGGACCTCTTGCCGTACTACCGTCCCGACGAGGAGACGATGGAGGGAGTTGCGCCTTCCACGACGGATACGAAGGGGAAAATAGCGGCGTTCAAAAAGCAAAGTAAGCAAGCGTTCTTTCAGCTTTGTCATTCAGTTGCCGATGGAATCGCGGTGGATTTGGACCAGTTTGCTGGGGAGCTGAAACCTGCACAACGAGCGTGGGAGTACCTGGAGTCCACATACATGGGTACAAACGATGTCAACAAGAAGGCGATTAGGAAGCAAGTGCTGATGCTGAGCATGGAGAAAGGTGAGAAAATCATCACCTACATCAACAGGGCGAAAAGCTACAACGACGATTTGCGGGTGATGGGAGCCGCGGAGACGGAGCATGAGATGATTGACTATATCATCCAAGGCCTTCCTAAGGAGTGGGAATCCGACATCGGTATGTTTACGTACCAACCGCCGGAGAGTTTGATGAAGCTGCAGGAGATTCTACAGTCGCTTGAGACGGTTAAGGAGATGAGAAAGAAGAAAGCAGCAGCAGTAGCTAAGGAGTTTGATGAGGAGAGGCCCGCTTTGGTGAATGCCACGAAGGCGTTTGGAGCATGCTACCAGTGTGGAAAGCGCGGGCATAAGGCGATAAATTGCTATGAGAACCTGCGAAGCAGAAACTATAAGGGCAAAGCGATGGAGAACGAGAAAGGAGAAAATGCAGGAGCGGAGTGGCAGCAGAAACGAGGTTTTGGCGGCAAGTGTGATCATTGTGGGCGCTACGGGCATCGTGCCGCAGAGTGCTACTCCAACCCAAATAGCATGAGCTACAAGGGTCCGTCGCAGCAGAGGAATGTGGCGGCAAAGGCGAATGTAGCAGAAGCGAACGAAGATGATGTGATCCTTGGAGGAGCGCATCTTGCGAACGTGGTGCGTTTACCGAAGGAGGTTCGGCAGACGGACGATCGTGAGAAGACGTCATGGTTCATGGACAGCGGATGCACGCGTCACATGACGTTCAGGTCAGATTGGATGGAGAATGTGAGGGAGTCGAGTGAGGATTATATATTTCAAGGTAACAGTGGGAAGTTACCAGTGACAGGAGAGGGTGATGTGGTGCTACAGAGTCCGTATGGAGAGATGAAATTGGAGAGTGTGCTCTTCGTTGAGGATTTGAAGGTGAATCTGGTCAGTCAGTCAGAGCTTGATGACTTGGGGTGCAAGATATTTTATGACAGTGGCGAGGTGACTGTGTTTGGTCCTGAGTGGGAGAAGTATGCTGATGGTTACTTCAGTGACAGGTTCTATGAGATGAACTTGGTCGCGACGAATGATACGGATGAGATCTATGAGGATCCTGAGTATGGTGAGATGGGAGAACTGGAGGAGTTATTGACTAAGGTTGATAAGAGCGAGGACACGGATGATACGGGAGCGAGTGTGGAGGCAGCAGTGAAGCAGGAAGAGGAGATAGTGATCACGGAGGCAGCAGCAGTAAACGGTGGAGATGGAGACGATGTCAACACTTTTGCAGCAGCGATCGTGCTTGAAGATGAAGCAGTAAATGCGAAGTGTGTGGGAGTTGAAGCTGTGAAAGGGGACATCATGGTGAAAGGATCAAGGGCGAATGCAACTGCAAAGGGGCAAGTGCTTAAGGAGGATGAACGCGTTGAAGGGTACGAGACCCGAGAGGTGTTGAGTGTAAAGATGCCGAGGAGACGTGAGAGGCTTAAGAAAACTCATCGATTGGATGTCAAGGCTCTCAACTTCAAGACACGTAAGCAGAGGTTCAAGGTGCAGGAGCTGCAGGGGAGCGTGAAGCCGACTTAGACCCTGTGAAGGCTACAAGGAGCAGGGGAGCGGTGCGAGTGGTGTTCGTGGTTGACGAACCACAGGGGAGATTGTTAGGGTTGGTTCGCCCAACCAAGAAACCTAAGGCAAAAGCATCTACGACCTTGAGACCATCGCGCGCTGACCAGTCACTTCGTTAGCTCAAGATTAACGTGCTAGCATCTGTAACCTCGTAAACTTTCACTACACACGTGTACTTTCGAAAAGAATGTGAAACCGATAGGTGCTCTGCGATCAGCTGATATGAGAGGCCGAACACAATCCGCAAGAGCTCGTCGGGTCGAGAGAGGACACTAGAGTAGCCCAAGAATCTGAATCTTGTAAGGCCGCAAACTCTGGGAAGGCAAGAAGGTGGACAGACATAGTACTGTACCGTCGACTTGGGCTACGATGGATTTTGTGAGGTGTGACTAGAGTACATGCAGACACAACATACAAACGAATGTTCTATCACTACTGTAGAAGAGGGCAATGGGACACGCCCTGATTGGTAGGTGCTGGAGCGTCTCCCCTTTGAACCGAACTCAAACCAACTGAACCAAGAGAATCCGAAGCGAAGCTAGGACATTCTGAACACCCTCAACTCAACCAGCCTGGCGCAAGCAAGCAGAGCAGTGCACTGTAGCATGAGCACTGAAACCCTCCATGCGAGTAAGGGCGTGTTCCTACGGCCCCTTATCAGGGCAACCTCTTATCTGTTGGGCTGAGAAGTCCTAGGATCTTTGTAGAGTTTAAGGACTGAGTAGGGTTGTAATAGCGGAAGCGTTGAATAAAAGATCTTGAACCACCTTGCGCTGGTATGTGAGGGCAAAGTAAGTTAGATTAAACAAGCAAATACAAGGTTTATATAAGAGTACAAGGAATACGAATAGATAGATTTAAACCGTTTTACTGTTGCGATTCGATACAGTGCGACTCGGGCAACTGCTCAATGTCGAGTCAGTTGTGTGTCCTTGCTGTCGCGCTGTATTGGTCAAATCAAAGGTCGCTGACCTTTGACCTTCGCGTAACCTCCAGGCGGTTACCCCAACCTCCGAGGGTTGACTCGCGATGCTTTGATTTGGACTGCTTCGCTTTGAGTCCTGAGCTTCGACACGACAGAGGCGCCTTAAGACTTATTGTTCCCAACACTCCCCTTCGCTTCTGGAGTGTCGCTGATGGTGACGTGGCCTTGTCCAGTCAGCAGCATGCAGTACTCGAACTTCTGTTTTCCGAGCTTCTTGGTCAAATAGTCGGCTGCCATCTCGGACGTGGGACAGTAGGATAACTCGAGTCTTCCTTTCTCGATCTCGTCTTTCACGAAGAAGTATCGCAGAGCGATATGCTTCGTTTTGTTCGCGAATCCGTTTTTGTTGGCGATGCGAATTGCAGATTGGTTGTCGCAGTGCAGGGTGAAGCTGGGTAACTCAGCTAACTTTGCTTCTTCCAGCAGTTCGCGAAGGTAGAGTCCTTCCTTGGTGGCTGAGCAGAGGGCGATATATTATGCTTCAGCTGAAGAGAGAGCGATTAGTTCCTGCTTACTCGACTGCCAGGAGATAGGTCCGATAGGCTCGAGACGATAGACGTAGCCGGTGCGAGAGCGCCTGTTATCTGGATCGCCGGCATGATCGGCATCGACATAACCGATTAGTTTCGTTGACGCAGCTTCATTCTTGTAGTAAGTCAGGCCGATCGTCGGTGTGCTCACGAGATAGTGCAGTGCGCGATCGAGTTCTGACATGTGATCTGCTTCAGGCCTCTTGAGGTAGGTAGCGAGCTGGCTAGCGGAGTAGGACAGGTCTGGGCGACAGGTGACGGCTGCGAAGAGCAGACAGCCCAGTTTTCGCTGGTAGTCGCGTATTCCGGCGGTTTTTAGTAGGGTGGAGTTTCCTTGCCGTTTCCTGCCGTGTAGCGGTATGGCGTGGCGATAGCGGTAGGGGTGAGCGAGAAGCGCTTGGCGATCGTGTCGGCGTATTTCTCGGCGCTTAGATAGATTCCGTTTTCTTCTTCGCGGATGTTGAGTCCAAGGTACTGCGTGACGGTAGAAGAAACCGTGAGCGTGAGATCTTTCTGCAGTTCCCCTTCGAACCAGGTGGTGACGTCGTCGGTGGAGCCGATGTAGAGGAGATCGTCGACGTAGACGATGAGTAGGATGTAGTTGGCGCCTTTAGTGAGTCGGTACATGCCCTGGTCATGGGGCAGTTGGCGGAATCCGATGCGGATGAGGCGGGTGTGCAGGTGCTGTTGCCACAGCCGTGGGGCCTGCTTGATTCCGTAGAGGGACTTTAGCAGTTGGCAGACTTGATAGGGTTCCCCGTGGGTACCGTGAGGGAGCTCGACGAAGATGTCGGCGTCGACAGGTGCGTAGAGGAAGGCATTGGCGACATCAATTTGTCGCAGCTTCTTCTTCTTCATGGCGGCGATGGCGAGAAGAATTCGGAGTGAGGTATGTCGACTAACTGGGGCGAATGTCTCGGTGAAGTCTCGCCCTTGCTCCTGGTCGAATCCTCGCACAACCCATCGTGCCTTGAACTTCTCGATTGT